GAGGAACTACATGTGTCTGTAAATGTGTGTAAATATCAGTCACTTATAAATAAGTAACTACCCTGTACACAAGTACATCCCACAATGGACATTTTTTTCACTTTTTTTTCAAAATTTAGGCCTAAATAATCCACATTTTCTTACAATCTTTTTTTCAGTTCAAAAATCTTGACTACCCCCCCCCTCCCCCCCAAAAAAAAATAACGATGATGCTTCTGTATATCTTTGTGCCTTTAAATGCATTTTAGTTTCATATGGACATTATGGATATTAATAATCAAAATATTTAAGCTACACATTACTATATAATAATAATACTGAATAATAATAATAATCAGAATTAATAATAATGGTAAAATTGTTTTCTCCTATAAGATACATTTGATACAAAGTTTCTTACATGGTATTGTTATAGGACATTATATATATATATATATATTATATATATATATATATATATATATATATATATATATATATATATATATATATATATATATATATATATATATATATATATATATATTTATTTATTTATTTATTAATGGGGTGGGGGAACATAGGTTCGAAACTCCAGAGGGAACTGGAAACGACAGTGTGAAACCTACTTAAGGAAGAAGGGGGTCACTATGAGGTCACCTCATATAAGTAAATTAAGCTCTGTGATGCTCACTTAAGAATGGCATTAAGCTTACTTACAAAGACAAATGTTTGTCTGAACTGTATAGCATCTATCATGAAGGCCTTTTGATTTCCTATTCAATTTTGGATCAACTTTTACAATCTTATTTAAAAAAAAATTATATAAAGATTTTAAAAATAAATGGCCAAGTCCGTTTTTCTTGAAAAAATCAAGAAAATTGTGTTTTTTTATATAAATTTTGTTCATCTATTGAAAAACAAAATGTCGTATGGTTCCCGTGGTTGTGGTTGAAGGGGTCAAGCCACAGCTCCTGGGCCATCACCTACAACATGACATGAATTTTAAAAAAATTGTGGATCTTACTGAAATCAAACCAGGCCTTGTGTTGAGTCCTATCAGCAAATTGTCCTGAAATGCCATACTCAAAAGGTGCCATACTTAGGATAGAGGACAGAGAAGTGCTAACCTTAAAACAGAGGACAGAGAGATCCCATAGACAGTTTAACGAAGAAATAATCAGGATAAGGAGCAGATCATTAGCATGTTAGGGGTCATGTATTTAGGACTTACGATCGTGTAATTAGGATCTAGGAGCATATACTTAAAACTCGGGTTTCAGGAATACTTCTCTGTCAATTAAAATATTATCCATCTGCACTGGGGTACACCAATGCAGATGGAATAACAGATAAGAGTGAGGAGTGACAAGAACAAATCACTGAGGCATCCCCAGACATCATCATAGCACTATACTTCAGTAATGATATGTCATCAGCTTGATTCTCCCCCAGTATTAAAGTATCTCATCTCAGCTATTACTTACTCTGTTATATGGCTTCTCTCTCTAGTGATTTTCATGAATGGAATTGATAAAAGTACAGGCAAAATTGAACATTGCGTGGAAAGGCCTTCACACTATGCGCTAATCCATTGTCATGAGCTTTTTTGTCAGTCGCATTCGTGGAGTAAGGGACAGTTCAAGCCTTTCAAATGCATATATTGCTGACCAGCAAATACATCATAATTCCAAAGAATCAGAATTACCCTTCTCTTCCATGGATCAAATCCATTTATACCATTTATCCCCCAGGTACTGCATTATCCCTATGGTTTAAGCACTTGCCCATGAATTCGAAAATAATTGAAAAGAAAAAATCCCACTTCCCTATTTCTTTATATTCTGTTTTGTGACGTAAACTTGCCTAACTTGTCTTACTGCTAGTTTAAGATAGAGGAAGTGATACTCAGAGCAACATTATAAAATATTAGAATTGGGAATATACAGGGAATATTCCTAGGACTTTGGGTATTATATCAGATTATTGCTGTGAATGCCGTTTCCAGGATGGTAGTGTACAGTCTACCCCACAGGAAACATGCAGTGTACACTGCACCTCACAGAAAACATGCAGTATGCACTGCACCTCACAGGAAATGTGCACTGTACACTGCACCTCACAGGAAACATGCAGTATACACTGCACATCACAGGAAACATGCAGTGTACACTGCACCTCACAGGAAACAGGCAGTATATACTGCACCTCACAGGGAACAAGCACAATATACACTGTACCTCACAGGAAACAAGCAGTGTGCACTGAACCTCACAGGGAACAAGCACAGTGTACACTGCACCTCACAGGGATCAAGCACAGTGTACACTGCACCTCACAGGGAACAAGCACAGTGTACACTGCACCTCACAGGAGACAGGCACAGGACATCAGATTCCGACACTATTGTCACACTGAACCTCGCCGACCCCTCACAGAGGGGCGCCTTGATGCTGCCCAAGGGCTCTTGATCCAAGGAATTGCAGCTACCCTCCCCTTCCTTGAATCAAACCTAACAGCCTGCCATTTCCCCAGGCACTATAAGACCCTCCTACGAGTATACCATTTCCCCCATGGTAATATGATTTAACAATCTCTGGAAAAAACTTTAGGCGACAAATCATACACATTATACCTTTTCTGATATTGGAAGAAGACTTGCATAATTTCTAGGATTTATATACCATATTTTCCAGCATATAAGACAGCCCTTGAAGATCAGGGTCAAGCATAGGCTTTGGGGTACGCTTTAGCAGTTATTTACTAATGTTACACAGAGTTCTTATGTTCTTAGATAAATACGTGAGTGAGAGGGGTTGGATTTGAGTGGGACTTGCACATGAGTTAATAAGGTTATCAAAGCTTATTCCTTAGGTAACACTAATAATGGGTTGGGCCAATATTTTTGTTGGTGGGTTTGAGTTTAAGAAAGACCTGCCAAGTATGGGCCAGTATGCCTGCTGCAGTGTTCTTCCTTTATGTTCTTAACTGCTTGGAAACATCATCTTATATGCTCGTGTGTCTTATATGCCAGAATATATATATATATATATATAAACCCTACAGGTTTAGCACTTTCCCTATGAATGATTGGTCTTGCCCGGTCATCAAGCCATGGAGAGGGTCACTATGAGCTATGTCAGAACACTGAGAGAGAGACACTGGGGCCCAATTTGTATAACACAAATTTTAACATAGTGACAGGAAGGCATGCACATCATGGCTATAATACCACACTAGTGTTGCAACAACGGGTTCTCTTTGTGCTATAATATTATAGATATAGAGAGGAGAAGCATTTACCATGTTTGCCTGTTTGCAAAGCATTGTTTTTTGAAGTGGGGGTCAAAAGGTGTGTTGTCTGGTACAAGATGCAAGTTGGTGGACAAATTTTTTATTGGGGCAACGTTTTGCACTGTTGATGAATAGGATGCGTGTGCAGTGCCTGGGTTTCTTTATTAGTGACACATTTTACTTGCACAGAAGGCTTCTTCAGTTGAATGTAACACAGGAGATGGTAGAGATAATTCTCCCGAGGTATTCAGTCCCTCAGATTTGAGAAATTGACTACCACTTATCAAGCTTGAGGGACTGACTACCTCAAAGCTACAACTGCTGTTCCCTGGGTTATATTCACCTGTAAGAATAGAAAATCACAATAATGTGGCTGGAACAACTCACCAAGAAACTGCACTTGGTAAAGGTGCCTTATGACGACATATTGGTCCAGGATGGACCATTGACAGTGATCCAGGATGGACCACTGACAGTGATCCAGGATGGACCACTGACAGTGATCCAGGATGGACCATTGACAGTGGTCCAGGATGGACCATTGACAGTGATCAAGAATGGACCATTGACAGTGATCCAGGATGGACCATTGACATTGGTTTTGGATGGACCATTGACAGTGATCTGGGATGGACCATTGACAGTGATCTAGGATGGACCATTGACAGTGATGAAGGATGGACCATTGACAGTGGTCCCAGGTGGACCATTGACAGTGATCCAGGATGGACCATTGACAGTGATCCAGGATGGACCATTGACAGTGATCCAGGATGGGCCATTGACAGTGATCCAGGATGGACCATTGGCAGTGATCCAGGATGGACCATTGACAGTGATCCAGGATGGACCATTGACAGTGATCCAGGATGGACCATTGACAGTGATCCAGGATGGACCATTGACAGTGATCCAGGATGGACCATTGACAGTGATCCAGGATGGACCATTGACAGTGATCCAGGATGGACCATTGACAGTGATCCAGGATGGACCATTGACAGTGATCCAGGATGGACCATTGACAGTGATCCAGGATGGACCATTGACAGTGATCCAGGATGGACCATTGACAGTGATCCAGGATGGACCATTGACAGTGATCCAGGATGGACCATTGACAGTGATCCAGTATGAACCATTGACAGTGATCCAGGATGGACCATTGACAGTGATCCAGTATGGACCATTGACAGTGATCCAGTATAAACCAAAACATCGTGCAATCTTTTGGTGAATTCACTTCTATTCGAGTAAAAAAGCGTACTGCACAGGAGAGAGATATCACCAATTAATACACACAAGTGCTGCACACACATCTCATTCATCAACGTGTTATTATGTGCCATCAGTAATATGAAACATTGTGAGTTGTGTAGAGCTTTACCAAGCTGTTATTAAAAGAAAAGTCCAAATAAAAGCTCGTTCCACACAACTTGCATCACTATTGTCAGGGCTGTGATGTGTTCACGGTGCTGAGTAGTAGTAGTAGTAGTAGTAGTAGTAGTAGTAGTAGTAGTAGTAGTAGTGTATATCATCTCATAAACAGTCTTCTCCATGAAAGTGATTTATTTAGGATAGATTTTTTAATGAATGTGTCAAAAACCACAGAAGTCATGACACAAGTGTAAAGCTTCACAACTAACAATATTCTTGCTCTACAATGGACGTTTGCAACCACGACTGCACGTGTAATTTGAAAGAAAAAAAGGAAAATTAAAAAAGTCTTCAGAGAAATCTAGTTAAGTCTGTTCTCATTTGCACCAACATTCAGACATACACTTACGCTATGTCTCACACTCTTGGCTAGTCTATGCACCTACAATCAATAGGTACTTACAAAAAATTGAATCTTATTGAAGCAACAGCATTCATGGACTCTGATACGCAGTCATGAGCATCTGTTAGGGAGGCCAAAAAATAGGCAGGTAATTTTAACCCCCTCCCCCCTATCGGGGTCTGTGTTCAGGAAAGGCGGCCATGCTGATGACTTATGCTTCAAGACACGCCAGTAAACATTTCGGGCAATTTTATTATGGAAATGTTTAGGTCTTGGGACCTTCTTTCCTCCATAAATGTCTGCTCGTGTGTCTCCAACAAATTTTCTATATTATACAGTAGATTTTTCATCACACTGATGGCTCGCTTATCCCTCTGCCCTTCCCTGAAAGCTGGGGTGGTGCCAGAATTTTTATATAGGGGGGCTATCTGCTTGGAAGGAGGGGCTTGGAGACTTGTTTTGAAGCAGTTATTTAAATTAGGGGGCTGAGAGTATTTTGGGGGCTGAAGCCCCCCTTTCTTGACACCGCCCCTGCCTGGAAACCTTACTTCCCTTGGGGAAAGTTCCAGCGGACACCCATGAACATTGACCTAATACACAACTCCATTTTTCTAAAGTTCAGTCTCTGAAGTGGTAACTTATTATAAGTTCCTCAGTAGAAAAATTTGTCATAGTTATTCTTCTTTATGGTTGAATAGGGATAGCAACTTAGTCATGAACTAACATATTAGCACAAGACTGATAGGGAGCATATATATATATATATTTCTATCATGTTAAAGATATTGCAGAAAGAATAGAGATCACAGTCGTAATTTTGAGACTTTACATGATATAATTTTCTCTCAATAAAAATGTTTAACACTCACACATACCACTCTTTGATATCCTTACTTTGTTTCTTAACAGGCCTTCGATCACCTGGTTTTATGGTGCCATTTCCTTGGCCATTGATCATGGGAGTCGGCATGGTAGGAATGCCTTCATAGTTTTTACTCTCATCTACTTTGTAAGCGCCATCTTGGCGTCCCTTAAATTTGAGTATAAGTAGAATGATGAGTATAACAATGATGAGGGCCCCTGCAATAATGCTGATAATAAGGGCAACACTCCCAGCAGCTTCACTGTGAATCTGGTCCAACGGGTCCTCTTTAACACTAGATTTCTTCTTGTTGTTGAACTCCACCTCTGGGTATGGGTACTCGTATTCGTAGTCGGTCACCGTGAAGGGAGGTTCTTGCGGTCGCGAGGGAGGGGCGACGGGGGTAGCCGTGGTAGTTCTGGGTCGTTGTCGTGTCCTCGGCGTCTGGGTGGTGGTTGTGGTAGTTGTGGTTGTGGTGGTGGTGGTGGTAGGACCAGAGCCAGGGTCCTTCCTAGGAGGTCCTGAACCGTTGCTAGATGGGTCGTGCTCCTCAGAGTGGATCACACCTGGAGCAACCATGGGGTGGTGAGTCGCAGGGAATTCAATATCTATATCGTCACCTGATAGAAACAAAAAAAGATAAATATGGTCAAATTATAGATAAAATTTAGTTTGCAAGAAATAAAGTTGCATGTTAAGGAATTACAGTAGAACCCCAGTATCCGCTGATTCAGTATCCGTGGTTTCAGTTATCCACTCTTTACTGTGGCTTAAACATACCTCTTAATTTTGTATACTAATGGCCTCAGAGCACAAAATTAGAGAAGCCGTAAGTGCTTCCCATCAGTGAGAAAGTGATAATTCTCTATTTATCATGCATAATTTATCAGTTAAACTTTATAATAGGTATGTAAAGGATTGCTACTATCTGTGGTTTCAGTATCCACTGCAGGTCTTTGAATGTATCCCCCACAGACACAGGGGTCCTGCTGTACATAGAGCTCAATGGAGAGAAGTATTTTAAGAATTATATACCTTGTGATGAATGGAGCAAAGTTTTTTAAGAACTACCTTGATGAAGGAAGAATGTTGTATGAAGAATGACCATGAAATGAATGAATCCAAGCTACAATGTTCCCCTGAACTAATCTCCTTGGACTTCCTACTCATTTCTGCAACATTGCAAGCTCCTGATGTGATGATTACAACATGAAAGGCCTAGAGCTATCATTCAACTTCCCTTGTGGTTGTTTTGCATCCTGTATCACTTGTTCATGATTATTGCATGTTAAACTATGCACGATAATCGTACATGTACCAGTACCAAGTTAACCTTAATGGAAGTAGTAATAACATAATGACAAATGGGTAATGACAAATAGGTAATGACATAAAGGTAATGCCAGTGAGGTAATGACAAATAAGTACACCTGAAAAGGGTTTCAGGGATCAATGCCCCCTCAGCCCAGTCTGTGACCAGTAGGTAATGCCAAATAAGTAATGACTTACCATTATCAATCTCAGTAATAACTCCACCTTCGGTGTTGAACTCTCCCGAGCCTGACCCAGTATAACAGTCCTCCTCATCGTCACAAGGTCGAACACCAATGCCAACATCGCGGTCTGGTATATGTGGCTTGGGTGAAGGTTTGGTCATTGGTGGCAGTGTCGGTGGGATGTACACAGGCGTTATAAGGTCATCGCCTGTGGAAAATGTTTTTTTGTTTACATAAATCATTTACATAAATCATTATGTATACGACTCCATGATCCACTTGGGTTCGGAATTTATTTTAAAATTATAAGAAAATAATAATCAGAAAAAATTAACAAAAGTTAATATACGTATGTATCCAAATTTAGGAAAAAAATACATACCAAATAAAACTTTTTTTGAAACTATATTATCAAAATGACCTTTTAGAATACATAAAAATAATTTTTTCATCAATTACAATAATGTAATAAAAGTTCATGAAAATGAATTTATCTACAAATATTTTGTATTAAAGTTATTATACAATTTAGCACATATTATAAATGTAATAATAATAATTATTATTATTATTAAAAAAGTAATTAATAGAATAATAATAATGATAATATTAATAATAATGATAATAATAATTATAATAGTAATAAATAATAGTAATAATGATAGTAGTAATAATAATAGTAATAATAATAATCATTGGCAGCTTGTCCATAGGAGCTGCAGTGCTGCAGTCTCCCTCAGATGCTCACTGCCAGATGTATGACTTCATCAACTTTATGCTAAAATAATTTGCAAATGACAAATATATTACAGGAAAAATGTATTGTATGTTGTTTTCAATGTATTTATAAGTGATTTTTTTAAATTTTTTTGTTGAAATGAGATAAAAAATGTATTACAAATAGAAATTTGATGTGGTATGATAGTACAATAGGTATTACTGCCACTGGTAATGATGATAATAGTAATAATAATGATGATAATAGTCTTACCTGAGCCAGTATCAAAGACAGGTATGCACTCATCTTCATCATCCATGTCACAACCAGAACCAGCACCACTGAACACCAGGTCGTCTCCCTCGCCAGGTGAGGGTCCTGGCATGGGTCGAGTCTGGAATTGGAGAATGCTCAGTGAACCACCACGATGAATACTCGTTTGGTGCATTAAGGCGCTCAGTCCTTCTACAGTGAAGTAATAAATCCAGGTGGTTGGTCCTTAATAAACAGAGGCTATGGAGCAGAATAATTATCAAGATTGATGGACTGACCACTTCAAACTTATTCTTTAAAGCTGAGGGACTGACTACCTCAAAATCATTCCTTCAAGGCTGAGGGACTGACCACCTCAAAATTATTCTTTCAAGGCTGAGGGGCTGACCATCTCAAAATTATTCCTTCAAGGCTGAGGGACTGACCACCTCAAAATTATTCCTTCAAGGCTGAGGGACTGACTTCCTCAAAATTATTCCTTCAAGGCTGAGGGATTGACCACCTCAAAATTACTCCTTCAAGGCTGAGAGACTGATAAATTCAAAATTACTTCAAGGCTGAGGACTGACCACCTCAGAATTACTGCTACTTCAAGACTGAAGGACGACCACCTTATATATCCCTCTCTGCTGCTGTGTTTGTGTTTCTAAGTGGGTTTCCTAGTTGAAACACTGAATTCCCCTCTAGGGATATGCCTTGAAGCTGGTGAAGGGCTCTTAATCCAAGGAAGTGGAGTTTTCCTCTTTCTTGGATCACACCTGATTGTTTTCCATTTCCCATGTACTGTATAACCCCTATGGGTTTAGTGCTTCCCCATAAATATCATAATTAAATATTTAATGCCATTTTTGAGACTGGCCCCTGGCTGGGTGCAGTACTAGGTAAACTACCAGAATAGGTCGCAGGTCAATCACAGGTCACAGTCAGTTCATACTGTGAGAGCAAATAAATTCCTCCTATCAGCTTAGATGATCCAACTACATGCAAAGTATATGGACAGTGTTACAGTCACACGAGCGCTATGTGTTTGTGTTGTTGAGGTGGCTGTGAAGTGTAGTCTCATCCTCATGTACCCTCCTGTTACTCTTTTATTTTTTTATAGTTCCTTGATAATGTGAGATATCATGAAAGCACTTAAAAATTTCACTATTTTTCTCAGTGGTATTCTGTACATATACATATGTATATACAGCCTCTCCTCACTTAGTGACATATGCATTTACCAACAACTCAGACTTACAGTGGGCTCTCTGACCAGCATGCATACATAAATAATGTATATAAGAGCTGATTTCCTCTATTGTTTATTACAAAATACAGTACAGTTCCAGGTATGTCTTTCTTATTTATTCTGGACCCTATTTGGAAATTGGCATCTTTTGAAATTTGTGTGAAATTGGCAAAATTGCTAAATTCTGACCACTTTATTGGATAGTTGAAATCAGTAAATGAATGGTTTCTTGTACTCATTCGATAGAAAAAATGGAGTTCTAGTGAAATACAGTGGGCCCTCGCCTAACGAACGCATCGCATAACGTTAAATCCGCCTAACGAAGCATTTGAGTGTAAAAATTTTGGCCCGCTTAACGATAAACTCGCCCAACATGATTCCTCCCAAACCTGTCCGTCCAGCCTGAGCGCCTCAGCTGCCTTGCCGTCATTGTTTACAAGCCAGGGTGGCCGGTTGCATGCATACATTCGATGGTATAAACCTTGGTAATAAATACCGACAAGTTGGTTTAGAAAGACACGTAAGCAAACACTATGACATATTTATTAGAAAACGTTTTCTAATAAATATGTCATAGTGTTTGCTTACGTGTCTTTCTAAACCATACATTCGATACATTTTGTATTATTCCATTGTTTATAGTGCTTGTAACTGCTAAATAAGCCACCATGGGCCCAAAGAAAGCTTCTAGTGCCAGCCCTGTGGTAAAAAGGGTGAGAAATACTATCATACCGCAGTCAGGTGTTGCTGCACCACTGCCAGCTGTTGCTGCACCACTGTCAGCTGTTGCTGCACCACTGTCAGCTGTTGCTGGACCAGTCAGCTGTTGCTGGACCAGTCAGCTGTTGCTGCACCATGGTCAGCTGTTGCTGGACCAGTCAGCTGTTGCTGGATCAGTCAGCTGTTGCTGCACCATGGTCAGCTGTTGCTGGACCAGTCAGCTGTTGCTGGATAAGTCAGCTGTTTCTGGATAAGTCAGCTGTTGCTGCACCACGGTCAGCTGTTGCTGAACCAGTCAGCTGTTGCTGGACCAGTCAGCTGTTGCTGGATCAGTCAGCTGTTGCTGCACTATGGTCAGCTGTTGCTGGACCAGTCAGCTGTTGCTGGATCAGTCAGCTGTTGCTGGATCAGTCAGCTGTTGCTGCACCACGGTCAGCTGTTGCTGGACCAGTCAGCTGTTGCTGGATCAGTCAGCTGTTGCTGGATCAGTCAGCTGTTGCTGGACCAGTCAGCTGTTGCTGGACCAGTCAGCTGTTGCTGGACCAGTCAGCTGTTGCTGGATCAATCAGCTGCTGCTGCACCACAGTCAGCTGTTGCTGCACCACCATCAGCTGTACTACTCAAAGATGTGGAGAGAGTGTTGTTGGTGTGGCTTAACATGAAACAATTACCGAGAAACGATTAACCCCAGAGGGTTAGCCACCCAGGATAACCCAAGAAAGCCAGTGCATCATCGAGGACTGTCTAACTTATTTCCATTGGGGTCCTTAATCTTGTCCCCCAGGATGTGACTCACAACAGTCAACTAACACCCAGGTGAACAGAAAAAAATGCCTGGAACTAGTGCTCATATTGGTGAATTTAAGGCCAGCAAAGGTTGGTTTGTGAGATTTAAGAATTGTAGTGACATGCACAGTGTGATAAGGCATGGCGAAGCTGAAAATTTCATCCCCCAACAAGTGTTCAATTGTGACGAAACAGGCCTGCTCTTCCTCATTTACATCAGTGATCTTCCAAACATATCCCAACACCTGAAACCCATTCTCTTTGCTGACGACACGACTTATGTCATCTCCCACCCTAATCTTGCCACCCTCAAAACCATTGTTAATGAGGAGCTGATCAAAATATCGACTTGGATGACAGCCAATAAACTTACACTTAACACTGGCAAAACCTACTGTATTATGTTTGGTAGCAGAGCAGGTGTTGCGCAACTTAACATTAAGATCGACACCACTCTAATAGCCAGACATAATGAGGGCAAATTCCTTGGCCTATACCTCGACAACAGCCTAAATTTCAGCACCCATATCCAACACATAACAAATAAAGTATCCAAAACGGTGGAGATCCTCTCCAAGATACGATACCACGTGCCGCAAACTGCCCTTCTCACACTATACCATTCACTTATATATCCATACCTCACCTATGCTATCTGTGCTTGGGGTTCAACTGCAGCAACACACCTAAAGCCAATAATAATCCAACAAAAAGCCGCAGTAAGAATAATCACTAAATCCCATCCCTGGCAACCCCCCCCCTCACTCTTCATAGATCTAAACTTACTCCCTGTTCAGAACATCCACACTTACTACTGCGCAATCTATATCTACAGGACCTTAAATTCTAATATTAACCTTGACCTAAAATGCTTTCGTGATAGTTGTGACAGGATCTACAGGCATAACACCAGACACAAACATCTCTATGACATTCCCCGTGTTCGACTAAACCTTTACAAAAAATTCAATGTATTTCTAAGGACCTAAAATCTGCAACACCCTACCTGAAAACTCTAGAACTGCAGACACATTCATCATTTTCAAAACTACAGTTAGAAAACATCTTATCTCCCTGATCCACCCCGACAACTAACTACATGATAACCACCTGGTGGTTCACAATTACACTCGCTCACCCACTGACTATAAACCCAGAAATACTAATCTTAATCTTAAAATAATAAATCCTAACTAGTCATAAGTTTGCCTATGATACTCCAATACAGACACTTTGTATTGTGCCAAAACAAAAGCATTCACATTGCTAAACTCACAAATTATGATGTAGTCACTTAGCCTTAATACCATAATCTGTAAGAATTTAATGTTAAGAATTATTCTAAGTCTGCTCGAAATGCCTAGCCAGGCCAGGTGTCCTAGTGGCCCCCTCTGTAATTAGTACTTTATAACATGTAAACCACACAATACCCAAAACCTGTAAACCCCACATTGTAACCCTTATAGAGAATAAACTTGAATTTGAATTTGAATTTGCTGGCCTTAACTTCACTCACATCACCACTAGTTGCAGGCAATTTCTTTACCAAATCATCATGCACTCCAACACACGCACTCCACTTTCGTACTTTGCAATTATCTCTTTCTTCATTTCAATAGTCATTAGCACCTTTTTCTCGAAGAGTTGGCACTAGAAGCTTTCTTGGGGCCCATGGTTACTTATTTTGCAGAAACAAGCACCAAAAACAGTGATAATATGGATAATATGGAATGTACCGAATGTATCCTTAGATGCGCGCACACTGGCTGGCTTGTAAACACTGGCACACACAGGGCAGTTCAGGCCACACGTAGACACGTCTTGTACGAATCGTATCGAATGTCGAGGCGAAATTTTTGCGTTAAAATGCATCAAATGTCGGATTTATCAAATGTCGATGCCATCGAATGTCAAGGGTCCACTGTACAGGCTTTCGTTTTACACTCACTTGGCAGGACGGCAGTACCTCCCTGGGTGGTTGCTGTCTACCAACCTACTACCTACATTATTCCTACATTCACAGCAGGACTTGAATCTGCAAACTCTACATCAGAGTACACAGTACTTTATCTGTGACGCTTGCTGTGGACATAGAAATAATGTTTGTAAATAATTTTGCCTGTTTGCGATGTCCACGGTTTCAGGTATCAACTGTGAGGTCTTCAGACATATTCCCTGCAGATATGGGAGGACTATTGTGCAGTTTCATTTAACAACAATTGTAACTGATTAAAAAATCCATGCAATTTCCTTTAGCCAACTGATTATTATTATGGTCATATTCACTTTCAGCACCTCAAGAAGCCATAGTGAAAAGCCTCTCTTTTCCACTGCATAAAATCATTCAAAATTTGTGGACCAGTATTATTAATAAATACTATTCTAAATTTGCTAGATGTATTCTTGTAAACCCTTTTGGGGCCTAGTTCCTAGGCATTTTGTGTATCCATATGTTCTTGCACTACCATCCACAGATTGTATATGAGGTGCACAATAAACTAGCCACTTGAGTGGCAAAATCTAAATCTAGCCTCACCTGTTGCCATGGGTTAAATTCCCCGGAGCCTCCCTGTGTTGGTAACCCATGGGGAAGGGTCATCAGCAAGTGCACATCCCCATTCACATTGACCCTGGGGTCCCGTTCAGCTGCCAGGTCAAGGGGTCGTTCACCGTTCAGCACCAAACCAGACATCACACCCTAGAGGAAAAATTAATTAGGTGGGTTAGAAAAAAAGTTGAATGTGAGAAGGAGTTGATAAAAAGTATTTATGGTTATGGAATTCTAAGTTGAGAATATTGTTGTTGCATTTTGTGTTATATTTTGAGGCTTCAACCCTAGCAGTGGTGGAGGCTTTATCCACCCTCCATGTATGTGTCATTCAACACTAGTTGTGATGGAGGCTTGATCCCAGATAACCTGGGATCTGGTCGAATGGAGAAGGTACTATCTACTTTGATGCAGAGTGTGTAGGCTCGAATCCCACCGTGGACTGAGAGATAATGTTCCTAAATAATTTTGCTCATTTGAAAAATGTTAAGCATATGTTACCATGTATGGTAATTTGTGTAACTGTATTTACATGTACCTCTACCTAAATAAACTTACTTAGTGTTGATTTGCTAAACCACAGCTTGCCTGGAAAGGTCAGTGAATTGATTTTGACCAAATGACAGCCTACCTGGAAAGCTCTGTCTGACTTCTTTTTGAATTATCCAAGGTAATTTACACTATGTATGATGATTGTACTTGAGTGTACTTGTACCTGTACCTAAGTTTGAGTTTAGACCAAAAAAAAAAGTACGAATGATGCTATTAAACAAATGCTTGAACTAATATATACAGCCCTCAATAAAAATGAATATCCTCTTGGGCTCTTCATTGACCTATGGAAAGCATTTGATACAGTGGACCACAATCACCTGCACCTAATACTAAATCATTACAGCATCAGAGGACATTCCCTCGATTACCTAAAATCTTACCTTAATGATAGACACAAATGGTCAACTTCACTATCCAGCCTGTAGCTGTCGGAGTGCCCCAGGGTAGTGTCCTAGACCCACTCCTCTTTCTCAGTGCATCTCAACTCCTTAAACCAGTTCTATTCGCAGATGACACTACTTATGTCTACTCCCACTCAAACCCAGATATACTTAGAGACACTGTAAACAATGAGCTGCTAAAAATATATTCTTGTTTGATGACCAACAAACTCACTCTCAACATAAACAACATACTTCATGCTGTTTGGAAACAGAGCTTTAAATATCCAACTTAATATATCAATAAATGGTTCCCCTATTACAAGACACACTGAGGGTAAATTTCTAGGCCTTCTCCTTGACTGTAATCTTAAATTTCATTCCTACATCCAGCATATCTCCCAGAAAATTTCCAAATCAGTAGGCATCCTTTCCAAGATACAATATAATGTACCCCAAATGACACTCCTTACTCTATACCACTCTATAACCCGTAAACGGTCCAAACGTATGTATACGTTTTTTCAACATTTGAAAGTATGTAAAAGAGTAGATCTTTTTTTTGTTTTTTTACATTTGAAAATGTGTAAAAAACTTTGATCTACTTTTTTTTTGTTATATTTGAAAATATGTAAAAAAAACATAGATCTACTTTTGTAGCACTACACATGTGAACGTAGATCTGCTTGGACCGTTTACGGGTTAATATATCCCTACCTCACCTATGGTATTTGTGCCTGGGAATCAACCACAGCCAACCACCTTAAACCTTTAATAACCCAACAAAAAGCTGCTGTGTGGATGATTACCAGCTCCTGTGCTAGACAGCACACCCCACCACTTTTTAAAAGCCTGAGCTTACTAAATATACAAGACATACACTAATATTATTGTGCCTAGTACATATGCAAAATATTAAACTCCAATATAAACCCTCCATTTAAACTTCTCCTTGACAGCTACAACAGAATGCACAGTCACAACACAAGGCATTCTTTGACATCCCTCATGTCAGTCTCACACTATGTAAAAATGCAATGCACATGAAGGGCCCAAAGATCTGGGATTCACTATGTGAGCCAGTAAAGGATTCCGTGACTACTTATTAAGATTAAGATTAAGATGTTTATTTTGACATGATACATGGTTGTACAGAGGAATATAATAGCTGGGTGCACATGCCAAAAGCCCCTTTGTATGCAGAGCATTTTGGGCAAACTTAAAGATTAACTTAAGATTAGGAAGGCAATAATAGTTCATATGGTCATTAGATGAGTTACAGTGAGTACAATAGAATTGAATATTCTATCAGATATTGCTACATGACTTTGATAAGTCTAGTAGAGAATTATTCCACTACTGAATTAGTTTATAAAGATTACAGTATCACAATGAAACAATTTAAAACAATTTACAATATGATGTATTACAGTTTAGTACTATTTAAAACAATAAATTTAGGGCTATGCTTAAAAATCACCTCATCTCTCAATACTAACCAAACCAACCAAAACAACTTCTAATCAGTTTGAAGCAACTCTCTTAAATATTATATTATATGAACTTTAACTTATTAAATATCTGCCAGTCCATGAAATATTACTGTTTGATCCACTAATTGTAATATTGTTTTTATTATGTGCAACTTCAAGATGATTATTCTTATAAACCTCCACCTTGACTACCTCACATTAGTATTAAGGTTAAATAAAGATTTTATGTACAAGCTAACCACTCTCATTTTGTCTATGTTTAAGTAGTTATTATGTACTTGGATTAGTTTGCCCGAAATGCCACGGAATGATAGTAGCTTTTTTTATACTTAGCAGACCAAAATTGTAATTGCACATTGTAACCTTTACAAAGAAATAAACTCGTTATCTTTACTCTCTCAACTCATCACAATGGAACAACAACTCTCCCAGAAACTTCTCTTGACTGATTATTACCAGACAACAGCTTACTTAGAAAGGTCACTCAAGTGATTTTGACCAAACAACAGCTTACCTGGAAAGGTTTCTTGACTGATTTTGACCAAACAACAGCTTACCTGGAAAGGTTTCTCGACTGATTTTGACCAAACAACAGCTTACTAGGAAAGGTTTCTCGACTGATTTTGACCAAACAACAGCTTACTAGGAAAGGTTTCTTGACTGATTTGACCAAACAACAGCTTACTAGGAAAGGTTTCTTGACTGATTTTGACCAAACAACAGCTTACCTGGAAAGGTTTCTTGACTGATTTTGACCAAACAACAGCTTACCTGGAAAGGTTTCTCGACTGATTTTGACCAAACAACAGCTTACCTGGAAAGGTTTCTTGACTGATTTTGACCAAACAACAGCTTACTAGGAAAGGTTTCTTGACTGATTTTGACCAAACAACAGCTTACTAGGAAAGGTTTCTCGACTGATTTTGACCAAACAACAGCTTACCTGGAAAGGTTTCTTGACTGATTTTGACCAAACAACAGCTTACCTGGAAAGGTTTCTCGACTGATTTTGACCAAACAACAGCTTACTAGGAAAGGTTTCTCGACTGATTTTGACCAAACAACAGCTTACTAGGAAAGGTTTCTTGACTGATTTTGACCAAACAACAGCTTACCTGGAAAGGTTTCTTGACTGATTTTGACCAAACAACAGCTTACCTGGAAAGGTTTCTTGACTGATTTTGACCAAACAACAGCTTACCTGGAAAGGTTTCTCGACTGATTTTGACCAAACAACAGCTTACCTGGAAAGGTTTCTTGACTGATTTTGACCAAACAACAGCTTACTAGGAAAGGTTTCTTGACTGATTTTGACCAAACAACAGCTTACTAGGAAAGGTTTCTCGACTGATTTTGACCAAACAACAGCTTACCTGGAAAGGTTTCTTGACTGATTTTGACCAAACAACAGCTTACCTGGAAAGGTTTCTCGACTGATTTTGACCAAACAACAGCTTACCTGGAAAGGTTTCTTGACTGATTTTGACCAAACAACAGCTTACTAGGAAAGGTTTCTTGACTGATTTTGACCAAACAACAGCTTACTAGGAAAGGTTTCTCGACTGATTTTGACCAAACAACAGCTTACCTGGAAAGGTCTCTCAATTGATTTTGAGCGCTTAGTTCTGCGTCCACCAACTTGCAGCTTGGCCTGAGCGTTGAATACAGACAACTGGTGACCTGGGGAAGGAAGGATGGCACTTAACTCCTGACACTAAATAGGTGACAGAAGGATCTGACAGGTCTCCTATTTTTTATGTACATTATACATAGCAATCAAATTATGTACAGTATCAACTTGAGCACCTATTCAAACACGCAAGTTCTCTAAGAACAGTTCTTCTAGTTTTTGAAAACTGATGTCAGGACTTAAGCAAAAAAAAATTATTAATGTCCCAGTATTGCATTTAGCACTGAAAATTTGTGATAAAAATGTTTTAATTCATTGTTCCCATATATCTTAGGCATTTGATTGAATTGGGAATTTTAAAGTAATTTTTCTCAAATGCAATTTCAACCACATCAAGTAATATGTAAATAAAAAAAGTCTCCAATGAATTTACAGTAAACACTCTTATAAAGCTCTTCTATATCAATTTTATTTTTAGAGTCATTGAAAAAGTACATCCGAAATTGAATAGCACATGAAAAATCCTTCGTAATACAGTCTATTGAATTTTGGATAGATTTTTTTCAATCAAATTTAAAAAAAAAAAGCTATATAGAGGAGCTTTAAAGACACATTATTGAAATCTCAAAATAATTTGAACCAATAAGCATACGTAATTTTCAAATCTATATTTTAAAGAGGATTTTCGCACTTGATGTATGAATTCTTTGGCCTAGCCTCTGCACCTGTCTTGAATTCCCTTCAAGGGTGCCCCAATGCTAGTGGGGGCTCTTGATTCAAGGGATTGGAGCTACCCTCCCCTTCCTCACATCAAACCTGAGTGCCTCCCCCTTCGTGAGCACTGTGTGATCCTTATGGATTCCGGGTGCCACAAACTGGGTGATATAATGATACATAAAGCAGAACAAGTTGATACCAAGATCATCTTTTGACATGGAGAGCTTTACCAGGCTTGGATGAAGCTTTTGACATGGAGAGCTTTACCAGGCTTGGATGAAGCTTTTGACATGGAGAGCTTTACCAGGCTTGGATGAAGCTTTTCACAAGAATGTTCTTCATAAGAGCTTGCTCAGCTCTTACTCTCTTTACATCACCCAAGAATACAATAAGCTCTCTTATAAGTGAGCTTACTATATATATATATATATATATATATATATATATATATATATATATATATATATATATATATATATATATATATATATATATATATTATAATATATATATATATATACATTATATATATATATATAATAATTTTATTAACATACTGTGACTAGCTGGGGATCAAACCTGAGATATTTTTACCAGCCTACTGGAAAACAAACTAAAATCCTTGAAGTTTAGTCCACAACACCACCACGCTTCAAGCATTAGGTCTGAAGCATGGTAGTGTAGTGGACTAAGGCATCAGTGATTTTAGCTTGCTTATGGTAAGCTGGTTAAAATGTCTCCGGTTCAATCCCGGTTAGTCGAATTATGTTAATTGTTTTAAAACCACTTATTTTGTGGATGCATTAATATATATAGTATACATATAGTAATATATATATTATATATATATATATATATTATATATATATATATATATATATATATATATATATATATATATATATATATATAAGTGCATAACACAGTAGACAGCAGCGACAACAGCAGACTCGGCATAATGTTTAAGTTGCTCTTGACTACGCACTTCATATTGCTATAAACTATAATTTATATGCATTTTGAGCATAATGTCGGAAACCCACCAAGATGAGGTGACCCCCATAGAAAAAACATATTCACCATCAGGCATTCCATAGCTGTTTTCCAGAAGTGGACGAATACTGCGATCTGAAGTTCCCAGAGAATTGCAACTAATCCACAATCTTTCAGATTGCAGCCACTGTACTTCCCACCTCCTTGACTCAAGTCTAGGTAATAATTTGTATTAGAGTATAATCTTAGGAAGTAAAGTACCTGCATTCTGAAGGATGGGTGGTGATGTTGTTGTACTGGAGGTGGGATGTACAGTGCTTGTACTCTGAAGGATGGGTGGTGGTGATGATGTACTGAAGGTGGGAAGTACAGTACCTGCACTCTGAAGGATGGGTGGAGATGTAGTCGTGCTGAAGGTGGGAATCACATTATGTACACTGTGAAGGATGTATAGAAAAGTTGCAGTTCATTGGGTCATTGTGAACTCAATGTCTCTACACCTCTACCAAGACAACTGTTAACTGAATGATGGTGAATGTGTCTCCTCCTTTGAGTCACCCTACCTTGGGGAGAAATGGCTGTTTAAAACAACGAGGCTTTGCACTATGCGAAACTACCGCTGACACTGACACCTCCATGGTTCTGTAGTACCGACAGATTGTGATTTACTTGGTGCAGATTATATGTACAGAAACATGTGCTGTAATAATTCCAATCCATGCATTGAGGGAGCGGTGCTTGGAGTCCCCCTTTTAGAAAACCACTTCAGAAATGCTTAGTCCATTGTTCGTGAATCGACTGAACAAGTGGATTTTGTTCCATCTTTTCATTACGTTGTAGAAATAAAGATTATTATTATTACTGAACTTTTACTTTTTAATTTTTCTGTTTACAGAATTACATATTCAGGTTAGAGATGTTACTATGCAGTAGCAAACTAGTGATAATTCTTTAGCTAAGATTTCTTGAAGAGGAATTCTTGGGTCTACTCCGGTGTGAAGCCAGATTCTCAGTCACTGCTTGACCAACTGTAACTACACAACAAACATCATGTAAGGAACACTGAAGACCTGCCAGCAACCTCATGTTTACAAGTCCACAGTGCTAATGGCTGAGGATGTATACAACTAGAGGTGTATTGGTGTGTATATATGCTGAGAGTATACTTTAATCCCTACATTAGGGACTAAAGTATTCTTGCTTGGCGGTGAGAAGGTTACGTGCAGCCTTAATGACTCCAATGTAGTCATCAATAGGCTTTAAACCCCATTAACCAGTAATACTAGGCAGAGTGCTCCTTACACAATTCATTACTTTCACAATATGGTGAAATTCTCATTTTATTGAGGTTGTGTAGAGGCTCAAGCGCATGACTTAGACACAGGATCTGATACATGCATCTTGTGAAGGTCAGGCAGAGGCAGTGCTCTCCCTCCTCCCTCGCACTGACAGAAGGAAGTTTAAGGTCATGGTTGATTCAAGTCATATACGCGTCCCAGGACGACTTCCTGAGTGACATCAAGTGAAATGAATATCTGGAGCATTATATCTGCAAACATCAATGTACGACTTGAACGGCAGAGTTTTAAAACAGTACAGTATTGTGAGATCTTCATGAAAAGTTGGTTACAGGAGAGAAAAACTGTAATAAATGGGGTTGTGCTTGTGTTAATATGCTTGTGTGATTGAGGCAACATATAATAGAAATAAGGAGGAAATTATCTTTCCAGGAAGAGGTTGAAGGATTCATTTTTATGCGAGAATTATAAGGATGGTATTGTTAGGTGAAACCAAAAAGTTATTTTTTTGTTATAAATAAACTAGATAGAGAAAATTTTCATTTTTCTTTTTAGGTCACCCTGCCTTGGTGGGAGATGGCTGGTGGTTTAAAAAAAATATATAATCCCTATAACTGTAAGAGTAGTTGGCACTATTGAGAATCAGACGTGAAAATAAAGATGTTTGTATACTGAATGTAAGCAAAAGTATGTAAGATTTTCCTGTCATCTTAAGTGTTTATGAGATGGGAAGAAAAGATTGGCAAGCCGGCCAGAGTGCAAAATGTTTAACATTTTTCTGTTTTGTACTGGCATGAGAGGAGGGTAGTACTTCCCTGGGTGGCTACTGTCCTCCAGTCTACTATTCCAGTATTAGTGAAATTCCTAGTTACATTATAGACAAGAGAAATATTGGAATACAAGTGTACAATAACTATAGTAGATAGCGTAGCAAACAAAAGACTGTGACAGTAACTACAGTAGATTGTGTAATGAAAGATTATATCAGTAACTATAGTAGATTGAGTTTAAAAAAATAAGATATTCTGGTAGATTGAGTGTAGTGGAAGATTGTAACAGTAACTACAGTAGACTGAGTGTAACAAAGACTGTAGAAGCAGAATGAGCGTAACAAACAGAAGACTGTGACAAAAACTACAATAGATGAAGTGTGACAAACATAAGGTAACTACTGCAGCAGATACACAGCAAAGGTTGCAATGAGGCTGATGGTGTAGGAACATAATGGTAATATACCGGTGGATAACGGACAGTGTTGTGAGGTAAATTAAAGGTGGTGGTGGTAGTGGTGGACAGAGCGGAACTATAATGGATGGTGTGGGACTGGCAGCTTAAGTGGCAGGTGTTTGTGGCAGTATTAAAAATGGTGGTGAAGAGGATCCAGTGTGCAAAAGAACGTCGTGCATGGTTTGTTGCAGTCTCAAATAAGAGCTTTCAGCAAATTGCAATACAGCTCCCTTAAAAGACTCCTCTATATAGTTTTTGTAAATGCAATTGAAAAAGTAGATCATAAATTGAATAGCGTATGGAAAGGCCCTCACAATTACGAATAAACTTTGTAAATCACGTTTACAAATAATCCCACTAGAGGAACTTCATAAGAGAGCTGACTGTCTTTCAAAGACTTCAGGCTACCAGGAGAAAATGTTCACTTTCTCGAATCACCTGATTACTTCCACCAAGCACAGTATCACCCCTATGGTGCTAGTGCTCTCTAATGGTATTACAGTAAGTCCTCGACTTACAAACATGTTGAGAATCTTGTTTTGTGTATATCATTATTATGCACAATACAGAAGATTCTCAACATGTGTGTAAGTCAAGGACTTAATGTACTTGAAGTAAATGCTTAAAAAGGCTATTATTAATAAAAGCTTCTTGTCGAGTAGGTGATTTGAGGTGAGTGAAGGAATCTTGATTTAGCCTCATCAAATCAGTTTGCTATATATTCCCCTGATGTTATGCATCTCTTAGGGGTTTAGAGCTCCCTAATATAAGTATAATTATATTAATGATGGAGAAGGAACTTTATATAGTCAACTCCCTTATAAAGATCCTATATAAGGTGAAATTTTTGTAATACTGTTGGTAATTCTACCAACATTATATTAGGTAAAAGGACACATGTACAACTAATGTGACATTTTATTGTGGCAACGTTTCACTCTCCAGAGAGCAAAATGTTGCCATAATAAAATGTCACATAAGTTGCATCTGTGTATTTTCACCTGATTTTCTTTTTTTGTAAATGTGATTCAAAAAGTACATCCAAAATTGAAGAGCACATGGAAGGGCCTTCACAGTACATGCTATTTAATTTTTCATGGACTTTTGTGATCACACTGACAAAAAAAAAATTCACACTAGAGGAGCTTTATAAGTGAAGTGACTATAGGAAACCTCTCCTATTAATGCAGTTACTGTGTACTAATGATTAAAATGGAAATTTATATATAATTCTGCTAGAGCTTATATCTGAGACTGCCACAGAGAAAGACCCGTGAGAAGCTACAAAGGTCTTAGGCCTCAAAAACAAAATAAATGTAAAATGTGTCTTATTTCGAGCGTAGGAAGGGTGATTCTCACCATGCCAAATCCCAGACCTGAGTTTCTTCAAGACCCTGTGGTCTGAATGCTCAACATTCTCTGTAAGGAAATGAGGTTAAATTTATATATATGGTGTGTATATTATGTACATATATATATATACACAGTAGGTATCCATTGTCTCCTGAGTTGTCAAGATGAACATTCAAGTCTGTGAAAGAACTGAGAGTTACTTGATCATAGATTAGTTGAGAAAAATGATCCAAATCCAGATTACCTGCCAGGTGTTGTATCACCCCTTACAGGTTTAGCACTTCCTCATGGATATAATACAAACAAAAGCTATACAAAATGTGATCTTTTTATATTACATACTACTAAGCACCACAACCCGTTCAAAATTCAGTATATTTATATTACCTGCTATAGCAAAAAACTTCTCAATCAGCATAACATTTTTGGAACTGATTATTCTGTAATAAAAATTTAATTTTATTCAAAATTTTGCCACACACACATACAGGAAATTTTATTTCCTGGTATGCCACAATTTAAGGATTAAAACAATCCATTCAACTACAGATGTTTCAAGTATTTTGGATTTTTTTTTTTTTTGAGATACAGCATCCATTTTAATAACCATTCACTCATTGAGTCATCTGTATCATGAAGAATACAGCCAAGAATTAACATTGTATAATATACACTGTAAATCTGTTGGGTTACAGCAGTTACAGCACTGAAACATTTAGTGATCCTAGTCTCTATAGCTGTACTAGAATTAGTTTGAACTATTGGTTTAAATCTTGAAATACTTGATATAATTAGGGGGATTTCCCCCCCAAAATTGTATAAATATAATCACCAAAAAACTGCAACACCCTTATATTTTGGAAGTAAAATTTGTATTTGTGTTGGTATATGTGTAAATAATGATAAAGTGGAGTAAATTATGTTAATCTAGCTTATGGACAATAGTGGAGAGTATTTTAAACTTTCTTGAGTGAGGGACTGATCACCTTATCTTCTACTGTCTTAATTTTGAACACTTTCAATGTACTGTCTTCATTTTGAACACCTGTCAAGGCTGCATTTATAGTCATATTACTGTATATTGTGTATAGTCATATTACTGTATATACTGTGAGACTGTGGTTCACCTGTGTAGCTTTCATCTATGTCCATCAGTGCAATGGCTATGTTAGCTAAATAGAGTTCTGCTAACCTAGTCAAACTTAACCTGATCTGACCTGACCTAACCAAACCTAACTTAACCTAATCTAGCCTGTCCTAACCATACCTAACTTGACCCCTAACCTAACCTAATCTAATCTAACCTAACATAGCCTAATCTAAGCTAACATAACCTAATCTGACCTAACTTAATCTAACCTAACTTAATCTGACCTAACTTAATCTAACTTAACCTAATGTAACATAACCTAATCAAACCTAACCTACTTAACTTGACCTAGCCCAACTGAGCCTTATAAAATACACAGATCAAAGTAGCCACCTTCAAGAGGAGCGGTATGATACTTGTGAGGGCTTTTTATCCAAAGAATCAGAGCTAACCCCTCCCTATTCTTGGACAAAACCTGATTATTCCTGCATTCTCAGTCACTTTGCAGCTTAAGAAATGAGAGACATATGAAGCACCTGGTGAAGAAGTTTCACCAGTCAGTCAGTGGCTTCATCAGTTCAATACAGAGGTTATTTGAAGGTGTTGACACTGTAAACAGTAGATGAGGTAATCAGTCCTTCAGCTTTGACAGGTGTTTAAAATGAAGACAACAGAAGATATGGTAACCGTTTCCTAGCCTTGACAAGGTGTTCAAAATGAAGACAACAGAAGATAAGGTAATCAGTCCCTTAGCCTAAATGAAAGGATATCAGGATATCACAACACCAACATTCTATATGAACTGTGTAGGCATCAAATGTGATTTTCAGTCACATCAGGGTCTGCGATAACTCTGCAAATTGGTCAGAAGCCAGAGTCTTGATTCCTGCTCCTCTTGGCTTGAAGGAAATACTATAGAAATTGGCAGAAGTCAGACAGTAACTCCATGATGACATGAAGCATAGGCAAGTGTCTTGTTTCTCAACTTGTTGCTATAGTGCACCATTAATGCTTTAATAATACAATACGTATACGTACAGTGGAACCCCTGTATCCACGGATTTGGTATATGCTGTTTCAGTTATCCACAGCTTACTGTGGCCCAAAAATAATCTTTAACTATGCTTAATAATGACTCCAAAGCACAAAAGTAGTGATGCTGGCAGTTCTTCAAAGTCTAAGAGAAGCCGTGAAATGCTTCCATCAGTGAAAGAGTGTTAATTCTAGACTTATTTTACATAATTTATCAATTAACTTTATCATAGGTATGTATGTAAATGAAAAATGACCTGTATATAGGGTTCATTATTATCCACGGTTTCAGGTGTCCACAGTAGATCTTGGAACATATCCCCCTTGGATATGGGGAGGGAGGGGGGAACTACTGTATTTACATAACAGTGAATCTAATTTATATAAGATGGCAATTACCCTCTAAGTTATATTCTTATACAAAAATTATAAAAGTTACCAATAGAAAATAAAATATCTTTTAGTACAGAGGAAACTCAGAAACGGCCAGATTATTGCCATTTATATCCTGTACATCCTGTATATCCTGTTAAAAAACAAAAACAAAAAAAAAAAAAAAAAAAAACTTCCACTCCCTGGGCTCTGTATGACCTTTCAGGGTTTAACAGTTTTCTGTAAGTAGAATATTTCCAATTGCAGTGTAAAGAGGACGTGTGAAACCCAAACATGAATCTAGTGAAGGAAAAACAGCAACTGGAGAACAAGCAGTTTAATGGCGGAACGATATTTTGCTATGTGCAGATGGGGGGCAGTCCCAAGAAGGGGCAGGGGTTAAAGCCCCCAAAATTTATCAGCCCCCCAAAAATTTCAGCCCCTCCTTGAATAAAAGTAACAATGTTGCTTCAAGTCCCCTAGCCTCCCTCTTCTACCCAGGTTGCCAGCACTTAGTCCCTCCTATATAAGACTTCAGAAGCCACTCCTTAAGTAGAGCTTTATTAAATCATTACATGATAAGCTCTACACAGAGTGAAACATTCTCTTGTTTAAAGCTTCTTCAGCTCAGTATTGGGATCCATATTAAACTTACCTGAAGGGTTCTTCTCACGGATTTCATAATCGTCTATTTGGACTGTTGCATTGGGGCCAGAGCGGATAAAACGAACCACGTGATACAAGCCGTCATTGACTCGTGACATGACCTCACCAATGGGATGGTCTTCAGTGCCCATGTTGTATACCACGAAGATGTTACACCTCAACCTGCCAGTTAAAGAGCAGTAATTTAAAATAATGCTAGGTTAAAGGAGCTCCTGGAGAACAAAACATTGCCACAATAAAATGCCACATTAGTTGCATCTGTGTCCTTTGACCTAACATATTGTAGGTAATTCTACTAATATTATTACAATTAAAATAATGTTTTGACCTGTAAATCAAACACACACATAAGTACAATAAAACCTCTAATTAATTGACCCCCATTTAATGCATTTAGAAACTGGACAAAAACCATTGGCTGGACAAATGTTGGAATCATTAGATAAAATGTAAAAAGTTCATAGATTTTGGATTTTGTCCATAGCTATAGTGTCTGGTGGTCTTCTGAATTAATGGACCAAATACAATTCATATTTGAATAGTGATTTTCTCGACTTATGATGGATTTATTGGAACATAACCCCATCATACATCAAGGCACACCTGTATACATCTTTAATACATCTCTCATACCCGGTGGTGGACCTACATTTTTGGGGCCCTAAAGCTTGAACTGTTAGGGAGGCCCCCTTCACAATCCCTTCTCATACAGTAGACCCAAAATTTTTAAGCTTCAAGGCCTTCAATTCCTCTGGGATTAAGGGCCCTGAAGCTTAAGCTTCATTAGTTTCATAGTAGATCTGTTACCTGCCATACCCATGGTGTGGGCAGTAAGCAAAAAACTAGAGAAGCATGGGTCCAAGGACTGGATCTCAAGGTTATTGACAGCTAAGGCACGATCAGAACACTTACAATTTCAAGTTCCATGTAATCGTTGGAGTTGGCAGAGCAAGACGGAGAACAACACAATCAGTACATCCTGGTGTGTCAAAAAGCCCCGGGCCAGAGGTCCCTGCGGGAGTCTGGCCACCGACCTTCAGTACACGAAGGTCAGTATACCAGTATCCACGACCAAACTTCATACAAGTTATGTCGAAAAATTGCAATTACAGTAGCAGTAATTAGTCAAAGTAAGTAGTAGTAATAAAAGTAGTAGTAATAGTAGTAGAGAAGTATAGAAGTAAGAGTAATTATAACAGTAGTTAGTAGAAGTAAAAGAGTACATAGTAGTAGTAGTAATAGTACAGTAGTATAAGTAACAGTAAACAAGAACAGTAATTAGTAATAACAGTAATAGTAATAATAATAATAATAATAATAGTAATAGTAGTAACAACTATCCCTCCACTTATGAGTTTCACTGTTGTGAGCTTTGAATCATTTGTGAATGCCTAGCACCCTCATTTTCATTGTTTTCATGTTTTATGTTATGTTTTCATGTGTTTTATTGATTGTGGTTCAATAGGTTATAAGGAACGAAGTAGTTAGGCTACAGTAAATGCTATTATTATATTTCCCAATAAAATATTAGGCATCAAAAACCTTTGCGAATTCTACAGAATCGAGTAATTATTATATTTTCCCTATACTATCATATTTGCCCACCAAACATCCAAGAATTTCAAGATCGTGAGGTTCTTGATCCCCTAACCCTTGCAAATGTGGAGGGCCTCTTGTAGTGATAACACTTATAATAATAACAGCAATGATAATAGTAATAGTATAGAATAAATATTAATAGTATGATTCGATATAGTAATTTCATATACGTACAGTGAAACCTCGCACTCAAACTTAATTGGTTCCAGAAGGTGTTCGAGTGTCGATCTGTTCGAGTGCAAAACAGATTTTTTCCAACCAATTTTCTTTTTGGTTGGCTGTTATCACTAACCCTCTTACACCCCATGGTGACTTATTTATACAAATAATATAAAAACACAAAAAAATGCGAAGGAACACAAAATAATTTACAGCAAAGTTCTGGCAGGTCGTGTTTGTTTGGTTGAGTGTCAAGCAAATGGTCATTTACCGAGTGATTTGCTTACCGAACAAAGCATTCAAATACCAATTTGTTCAAGTACGGAGCTGTTCGAGTACCGAGGTTCCACTGTAATTCACTTGTGGATATGTATTATTTTGAATAGTTTAGATATTAATGGCAAGTTAGAAATTGACCTAGACTTTTCATGTTGAATAATTAGAAATAGACATTTACAGATAATTGGAAATGGATAATAAAAGATAAGTATTACATAACTGGACATATGTGACTAGAAATAGTTACTGCAAATATAAATAAGTAAAGTTTGGGAATTACAATTGTGTTATTGTTATTATTATGGAAGAAACGTGTAATTAGAGGAACTTGGATGGTGACTGTAGGAGAAACTAACCATCAGAGCATGTAGGGCCAGTGAAGGAGGTCATGTCACAGTTGCAGGAATAAAGTTCCACTGCTGCACACAGGTCCACCGTTAGGCACGAGGCATTCCCTGGGGAGGGTGTGTGGCCACTTTGTACTGGACCTGCAATACAACAACCAGCACAGTAAACATGGTGGAAAGACTTGACCTTGTTTGAAATAGCATCTTACTGAGGCAACATTTCACGTCTCGTGGAAAAAGGAACACTGGTGTACAGTACAGGTCACTACCACAAAGATCAGGAAATAGAAACTTAGTTAACAAAGATAAATAAAAAAATGTTACATAAAAATAACCCGCACATATGAGAAATGAAACTTATGATGATGTTTTCATATCTGATTTGAAAAGTTAACTAGTCGCACAAACACAAAGGGTAGGAAGCCATATATATACAAGAGGGGGGCAGGGCCGGGAGTTGAACAAGAAGAGATAGTAGTATAGTGGCAGAAGTACCACTATAGTTAATGTTCCAAGTCAGACAGAAACACTGTCATAAGTTCACATTACTCCTCTGTGCAGGTTGTGTGTATATTCCAGGGACGATATGACCTTTTTTATTCTTTATAAAGCTTTTTATCTCATTATTTCTCTGTTAATGTTTGTAGGCAACATACCATTCACACATAGAGTAAATGAAATTCTATTATTATTATTATTATTATTAGCAGACTGGCCGATTCCCACCACGGCAGGGCGGCCCGAAAAAGAAAAACTTTCAACATCATTCACATCCATCACTGTCTCTTAGCCAGAAGGGTAGCTTTGCACTACAGTTTATTTTAAACTGCAACATTAACACCCCCTCCTTCAGAGTGCAGGCAACCTGTACGTTCCCATCTCCAGGACACAAGTCCGGCCTGCCGTTTCCCTTAACCCCTTCATAAATGTTTACTGTTTGTCTCACACTCCAACACAGCACATCAAGTATTAAAAAACATTTGTCTCCATTCACTCCTATCAAACACGCTCACACAGCCACTAGAAGTCCAAGCCCCTTGGCACACAAAACCTCCTTTATACCCCCTCCCCCCCTCCAACCTTATCCAAGGCCACCCCTTCCCGCCTTCCTTCCACTACAGATACTGATAAGACACTCTTGAAGTCATCTGTTTTCGCTCCATTCTCTCTAACATGTCCGAACCACCCTCAACAACCCTTCCCAGCCTCTAGGACAACAGTCTTGGCAATCCTGCACTCCTCCTAATTTCGCAAACTACACATTTTCTGCATTATATTCACACCACACTATGCCCTCAGACATGACAAACTCCACTGCCTCCAGACTTCCTCCTCGCTGCAACATTCAACACCCATGCTTTCCACACCCCATATAAAGAGCGTTGGTAAAACTATACTCTCATACTTCCCCTCTTGGCCTCCAAGGACAAAGTTCTTTGTCTCCAAAGACTCCTAAAGTGGCAATCCGCTCACTGACCTTTTCCCCTCGTCAATTTCGATGATTCACCTCATCTTTTCATAGACCCATCCACGACACGTCCACTCCCAAATATTCTGAATAAATTCACCTCCTCCATACGCCTCCCCCCAATCTGATGTCCAACCTTCATCACTTAATCTTTTGTTATCACTCATCACCTTACTCTTTCCGTATTCACTTTTTAATTTTCTCTTCTTTACATACCTTACCAAAATTCATCCACCAACCTCTCCGCAACTTCTCCTACAGAATCTCCCAAGAGCACAGTGTCATCAGCAAAGAGCATCTGAGACAACTCCCACTTTATGTGGTGATTCTTTATCTTTTTAACTCCACGCCTCTTGCCAAGACCCTCGCAATTTATACTTCTCTTACTACCCATCTATAAATATAACTAATATTAAACAACCACAGTGACACACACCTCCTGTCTAAGGCCTACCTTTACTGGGAAATAATCTCCTCTTTCTACATACTCTAACTTGAGCCTTCATTATCCTCATAAGAAACTCTTCACCTGCTTTCAGTAACCTACCCTCCATACCATACACCTGCAAACTGCCACATAGCCTCCCTATGCCACCCTGTCATAACACACCTTTTCTCCAAATCCATAAATCTGCCGACAAAAACCTCTTCAGCCCTATCTAAAAACTGTTCACTTATATGTTTCACTGGTAAACACCTGGTCCACACACCCCCTACCTTTCATAAAGCCTCCTTTTCAATCTAGCTGCTATCCTATTCTATCATAACTCTTAATTCTTTCCAATAATACTACCATACACTTTACCAGGTATACTCAACAACGTATCCCCCCTATAATTGTTTGCACTCTCTTTTGTCCCCTTGCCTTTATAACAAAGGAACTATGCAAGCTCTCTGCCAATCCCTAGGTACCTTACCCTCTTCCCATACATTAATTAAATAATAGCACCAACCACTCACCAAAACTATATCCTCACCCTGCTTTTTAACATTTCTATCTGTATCCCATCAATCCCAGCTGCCTAACCCCGCTTTGTCATTTTACCCACAGCCTCACTAAACTTCCCTCACACTCACAAACTGGCCTTCCTCACGCCTACAAATGATATTCCTTCCTTCCCTATACATGAAATCACAGCCTTTCTCATATCTTCATCAACATTTAACAATTCCTCAAATATATTCCCTCTCATCTTCCCAATACCTCTAACTCTCGCATTTAATAACTTCTCCTCTCTCTAATTTTAAACAGACAAACCATTTGTTCTCCTAGGCTCCTCAACAAGTTAACTCACTCAAAAACTTTTTTC